GAAACCCAAGGAGGGTCGCTATGAGTCGGGGCCGACTCGACGGCATATAACAACAACATAACAACAACTCTACTCTAGCTGCACATCAGTAGAAATTTGCCCTACTTGCTGTCTCAGTGGGACTAAGCAGAGACTTGATCTCTTACTAACCAGTCAGTAAAAGTAGATGGTGGCATTCTAATTCCCTTACCAGGGTAAGGTCATGAGACTGAAAGGAAGCTGATCTTCCATCCTCTGCCCAGCAGAAGATGATGTAAAAATTCCCCTCCCAAGATGTCAGCATAGTTGAAGAGGAAGCTGAGCTTCCCCTCAATCTGCACCCTGCAGCAAGAGACGAGTGTGAATCAGTTCCCCACTCCCCCCCCTGGAATCAGAGATGCTGTGTGGGAAAGTGAGATTACATTCCCCACTGGAAGGGAACAAGGCAATGCAAGTCAATGCCCACTTTCACGGGAAGGCATCAGCAAGGCAAAAGAAGTTGAACTTCCATTTCTCTCATCCTCAATGAGGCAGTGTGGGTCAATGGTCCACTTAAGTCAGGCCTATATCGGCAAGGCCCAATAGGAAACTGAACTCACATCCACCTGGCCTTCAGGCTATCCCTCAACAGAGAGACTACTTCCAAAATAAGAAGATTAAATTGAATTTAGAATCTCATAACATAATATTCACATGCTCAGGATACAATCCAAAGTCATTCAACATACCAAGAACTAGGAAAATAAAAACTTGAACGAGAAAAGGCAATTAAAAGGCACAAACACAGAAATGAATCTGTTATAGAAATTATCTGATAAGGACTTTAAATCAGCCATCATAAGTGTTTCAATAAGAATTTACTAATATTCTTGAAGCAAAGAAAAAACAACAAAAGAAAGATCTAACAGAGAAAAAGAATTATAAAAAAAGAACCAAATGTAAAGTATAGAACAGAAAAACACAACAATCAAAGTAAAGAACTCACTGGATGAGTTCAATAGGAAAGTGGAGATGTCAGAGGATGGAAGCAGTGAGCTTGAAAACCTTGAAAATAGATCAATAGAATTTACCAAATGTGAACAACAGAAACAGAAAATAGAGTCTTGGGAACAATAACAAAGGTACTAACATTCACTGGCATCCCAGAAGGAAAGGAGAGAAAAAGTGAGGTTGAAAATATATTGAAACAAATAATACTGAAAACTTCCCAAATTTGGCAAAAAGACATCAATCTACAAATTTAGAAACCTCAAGTAGGACAAACCTAAAGAAATTCATGCCGAGAAACATTATAATTAAAGTTCTAAAAAGCAAAAAATCTTGACAGCAATCAGAGAAAAATGACATATTACCTATATTTTCTCAGCTAAAACCATGAAGGTCAGAAGGAAGTAGAACAATATTTAAAATACTGAGAGAAAAGAACTATCAACCACAAATTCTGTCTGGTAAAATTATCTTTGAGAAATGAAAGGGAATGAAGACATCCTCAGATTCTTAGGAAAACTAAAAGAATTTGTCACTAGCAAGCCTACCTTTAAAGCATGACTAAAGGATATTTTCTAAGTAGGAAGAAAATGGTAACAAAAGGAGGCCTGGAACTTCATATACGGAAGAGCAACATCAGGATGAGTAAAAAAGTATACATAATAAACTATCCTCCTTCTTATGAATGTTTTAAATCATATTTGATGACTGAAGCAAAAATTATAACACCATCTGATGTGGTGCTCTATGTATGTGAAGGAATAAATAAGACAAATATATTTGTAAACTGGAGAGAGTAAAGGTACCTAAACAGAAGTAAAGTTTCTATGTTGTTGTTGTTGTTATGTGCCCTCGAGTCAAATCCGACTCATAGCGACCCCTCCTTGGGTTTCCGAGGCAGTATCACTACGGAAGTAGGATTGCCCAACCTTCCTTCCGAGGAGCGGCTGGTGGGTTTGAACCGCCAGCGGTCTGGTTAGCAGGCAAATGTCTTAGCCACTATGCTACCAGAGCTATACTTCACTTGAAATGGTGAATGTAAGAAACAGCAACTCTGTGGGATAGAGTACACCTTCAATAAATATGAATTAAACTAAATAAGGAGCTCTGGTAGCATAGTGCCTAAGACACTTGACTGCTAACCAGAACGATGGTGGTTCAAACCCACCAGTCACTCCTCAGAAGGAAGGTTGGGCAATCTACTTCCGTAGTGATACTGCCTTGGCAACCCAAGGAGGGGTTGCTATGAGTCAGGGCTGACTCGATAGCACATAACAAAAACAACAACAACAATTATTTAAAAATGCAATAAACAATTCAAAATTCATTTACTGAGTAATTACTACATATCAGCTATTGTGCCAGGGAGTATGGAAATGGATAAATTAGAATCTTTGCCCTCGAATATCCTACAATATAGGGCTTGGCCAGAGGCTCATTAAGATCTTTAGTGTTCACTCCTATTTTTTTTTAATTTTTCAACCACAACTATGTTTCTTGAAATTCTTAAAGATGATTATAATTATTCACTTCTTATAACTCAATTTCTCATAATAAGTTTCCTCTTCAGAACTATCAGATATTATTTTGAATATATTTATTCAGAGCTCTAGTGGCATAGTAACTAAAGCATGTGACTGCTAACCAGAAGGCTGCAGTTCAAACCCATCAGCCACTCCTTGGAAGGAAGATTGGGCAATCTACTTCTGTAGTAATACCACCTCAGAAACCCAACGAGGGGTGGCTATGAGTCAGATATGAATTTTGAATATATTTATTAGTGAAGATAATACTCTAAAGATCTATAATTAAAAATGATCTCTTAGGTAAAAAAAAAGGGTTAAAAAAATAAAGTATGATCTCATTTGTAAAAAGCTCACTTGTGAATAAACATAGAAAAAAGATTCAAAGGATATACACAAGAATGTTAAGAATGGACATTTCTTGGTGGTATGATTATAGGGCATTATTTTATTTTATTTACCTGTGTTTATTAAATTTTCCATTATAAACTTATATTACATTTTTACAATGAGAAAAAAGTGTTTTTAATAACATCTATAAAATAAATTATATACGTAACTCCTAATAAAATTTAAGTCTGAAAACAAATGTGAAGAAAACAGTTAACATAGCAGGTCTGACTACTATCTTTTAAAAGGCCTAGTTATATAAGGCCAGCCCTTAGCTAGTGTCTGAGGACTTAGATTTCAGAAGAGTTCCCACCACCATAACTGATAAACAAGGCTCACTATACTTAAACTGTTTGAGTAAACAAATGACTGATGATGAATATCTGCTTTCCTTCTGAGAGTCTTGATTTCTGGTACATGCTAGGCAGAGGATGTCTACATAACTAACTCACAAATAAATTTCTCTAGAAGATAACATTTCCCATTTGTTGCTACAACTTATTGCTGGGAGAATTAGGTGTATCTTCTATGACTCTACAGGGTCACAGACTTAAACCCATATACCTTTTTTCTTTCTATTCTTTCTCAGTAATAAATCACAGCCATGAGAATGACTGTATGCTGAGTCTTCCTAGTGAATCACTGAACATGAATCCTTTCAAGATAAAAGAAAACAAAAGGGTGTATTTCCCTTCTAATTTTTTTTTTTAACATTTAACATCTATGAAGACTGCAAATTGCAGATTTCAGAAAGTTAACACTCACTCAGTAGCTTAAAAAGTATTGTGGATTTTCCTAATTTCCTATGTGAGGATCTTAAAGCAAGCACAAAAAAAAGAGTAAATAAGTCTTAAATTTAAAAACTGGAAGATGATGGAAAGGCACTAAAGAATTTTCAATATAGAGATGGCAAACTTTATTGGATAAGTCAATGTTAATATCATACAAATTATATATTATTCATACTGATATAATTGGTCAAAATCAGTAGTAAGATATATGAAACATTGTGATAGTTTAAATCTACATTTGGAGAAAATGTTATTTGGTAAGAGTGAAAGACTTTGTTGGAAAGTAAAATAAAGCCTAGAACAATGGCTGTGTTGTGAAAAGTATGCTGAAAACTAATAAATAAGAAACACAGCATATGTAAAATCTACTTATAATTAACATAAAAAGTCCATTTACCTTAATTATTTGTTCAAATGCTAAGGCAGACTGTAACATCATTGGTCTCTGGCTTTGAATCATCTGTTGGTCAATAGAATTATAAAAATGTGCCACCTACAAAGGAAAAGTCCAATTAGCAATAATAAAAAATAAATAACATATGTCCTTTTTCTCTATTTTTAACAGTTTGAAAATTTTAATTTTTCTCAATCCTAAACTATATCATTAAATAGCTTTATTTTTTTTTTAATCTCCAACATAACATGTATTAATGTACACAATCAACAAATAAGTGTTGCACTCCTATAATTTGCCAGGTCATATGCTGTTAGGTGCCATCAAGACAATTCTGATTCATATCAACCCCATGGGACAGAGCAGAATTCTCCCATAGAGTATCCTAGGCTGTAATCTTTACAGGATCAGTTCCCTAGTCATTTCTCTCTCAGAGCTGCTGATAGGTTCAAGTCACCACCCATTGATTTAGCATCTAAGCACTCAACTGTTGTGCCAGATCAATGAGGCAAGAAAGGGAAATAACAGTCATCCAAATTAGAAAAGAAGCAAAACTATTCCTATATCCAAATAACATGATTCTATACAAAGAAAATCCTACAGATCCAACAAGGAAACTATTAGAACTAATGTAAGGATTCAGTAAAATGGCAGGGTACAAGATCACCATATGAAATCATTTGGATTCCTCTACACTAACAAAGAGATCTCTGAAAAGGAAGTCAGGAAAACAATATCATTTACAATAGACAAGAGATTCAGTAATTAGGAAAAAGTCTATAAAAAGACCTTTACAAAGAAAACTACAAAACAGTACTACAAGAAATGAAAAGAGACTTACATAAGTAGAAGAATGCACCATGCTGATTGATAGGAAGACTTAACATTGTAAAAACAACAACACTAAACAAAACAGTCAACAAACACAATGCAATTCTTATTCAGATTCCATCATCATTCTTTAAAGAGATGGTAGAACTAATCACCAACTTTATAAGGAAAGGAAAGAGACTCTAGGTAAGTAAAACACAAGAAGAACAAAACAGTAGGAGGCTTCACACCACCCAATCTCAAATTCTACTATACAGCCACAGTAGTCAAAACAGCCTGGTATTGGTACAATGACAGACTCATAGACCAATGGAACAGAATTGAGAACCTAGAAGTAAATCTATCCACTTAGGGATAGCTAATCTTTGACAAAGGATTGAAACCCATTAAATGGGGGAAGAGACAGTCCCTTTGACATATGGTGCTGGTAAAACTAGATATCGATTTGCAAAAGAATTAAACAGGATTCATTTCTCCCACCATAACACAAGGTGGATCAAAGACATAAAACCTAAAACCATAAAGATCATCAAAGAAAAACAGGGACAAATTTAGGGTCCCTGGTACATGGCACATAACTAAAAATGCACAAACAGCAGAGGACAAAATAGTCAACTGCAACCTTCTAAAAACCAAATATTTTGTGTATCAAAAGACTTTGCCAAAAGAGTAAAAAGAAAATCTATAGACTGGGAAAACTTTTGAGCAATGACATACTGAACAACTGAACAACAGATTAATCTCTAAAATTTATAGAAAACTTCAACACCTCAACAACAGAAACATAAACAATCCAATTTAAAAAATGGGCAGAGGACATGAACAGACACGTTACTAAAGAAGACATTCAGGCAGCTAACAAACACGAAGAAATGCCATGATCATTAGCCATTAGGAGCTCTGGTAGCCATTAGTGAGCTGCAAATCAAAACAACAATGAGATATCATCTCACCCCAGCATTAATAGCAAAGTTCAAAAAAACAGAAAACAACAACTGTTGGCAAGGGTGTGGAAAGACTAGAACCCTCATACACTACTGATGGGACTGTAAAGTGGTACAACCACTGTGGAAAATGATTATGTTCTTTCCTCAAAAAGTTGGAAACAGAAATACAATATGATCTAGCAATCCTACTACTAGGTATATATCCTAGAGAAATGAAAACCATGACACAAACAGATACGTGTACACCCATGCTCATCACAGCATTATTCACAACAGCAAAAAGATGGAAACAATCTAAGTGTTCATCAACAGATGAATGGATAAACAAACTATGGTACATACATACAATGGAATATTACCCAAAGTTAAAGAATAATGAATCTGTGAAACATCTCATAACATGGATGAATCTAGAGGTCCTTATGCTGAGTGAAATTAGCCAATCACAAAAGGACAAATATTACATGAGATCACTACTGTAAAAAGTTAAGGAAAGGTTTACATACAGAAAGAATCATTCTTTGAAGGTTACCAGGAGTGGGAGGGTAGACTACAGAGTAGACACAAATTAACTTGGGTGAAGGTAAAGGCACCTTCAATAAACAGGCGGTCAGCACAAAATGATCAAGGCAATGGAAGACACAGGAAAGAGCACAAGAGTTAAAGGCAACAAAAGTAAATACTATTATATACACAATCCAGCAACAACAGTAATAACAATAATCCATGACTAGATACATAGATAAGACATTCAAGCCGAACAGGGGTGGGAGGGCAAATAGGACTACATCCCATAGATACATACAGTTCTGACAGAGGATATTTCTACATAAGTATTTATATGTGTTTCAAATATATCCATGAATATAGTAGAGCATACAGGGGCAAAGTTATCAAAACTCCTTATTCTTAACCAAACATCTTGAGGGAATGAGTTGCTGCGCATAAGGAGGCTCAGGACCATAGTCTCAGCAGACAACAAGGTCAACTGGCAAAATGTAGTTTACAAAAACAATGTTCTTCACCCTACTTTGATGAGTAGCCACTGGGGTCTTAAAAGCTTGTGAGTGGCAGAAGGATGAAGGGAAATGGTAAATCCAGGAAAAAGGGGGAAGGGTGCTGTTCATTTTGAGGATTGCAATGAATGTCACAAAACAAAATATGTATGCATTACTGAGTAGAAAACCAACTTGCTCTGTAAACTTTCACCCAAATCACAATAAAAATAATAATTAAATACATGTATGTGTGTGTGTGTGTGTGTACATATATGTGTATGAATATATATATATATATATATATATGCCAAACATAAGATAGGATCTGAAGGGAAATTACTGAGTCTAAGATCTTTAATGACAGAAACTGTCTTTTAATTTTTGTATCCCTAGCACCTCACAAAATTCCTGGCATTGAGTAGGTACTTAAAAATATTTCCTAAATAATGTTATATAGAAGCCTTCTCTTCTTTCCATTAATATGTATGCTTTATTTGGTAGAAAAGTACTCACTCTCCTTATTCTGTACCACAAAAGTACCAAAAACCACCAAACCGAACTGCCGTTGAGTCGAATCTGACTCATAGCAATCCCTCTTGAGTTTCCAAGGCAGAATCATTAAGGAAGTAGATTGCCCAACCTTCAGTCTGAGGAGTGGCTGATTGGTTTCAACTGCCAGCCAGAAAAAAATACTATCAGGACAGCTAGAAGCAATGAATTAGTACTATTCCAGCAATCCAGCCATACTGCTATACACAATCTACTATATACTCCCTAACGCAACTCAACGCAATGCACTGCCATTGAGTTGAATCTGACTCACAGTGACCCCTCCTTGGGTTTCCAAGGCAGGATCACTACAGAAATAGATTGCCCAACCTTCCTTCCAAGGGGTGGCTGGTGAGTTTGAACCGCCAGCCTTCTGGTTAGCAGTCCTTACTCTAGATGAATAACTGCTCATTAAAAAAACAAAAAAAAAGAGTCCCAAATTATTTTCCCAGGTTAAATATAAACACTAATGAACATTCTTTCAGTTTTAAACCTCTACTGTGTCAGACTAAATACTTAAGATACACAGGTGAGAAAGCCTCTCTGCTTTTGATTATGCAGTCCCTCTACCTAGAATGACCACCCACCTCCTGGCACACTTGAGAGAAAAATATATATATATATATATTTTTTTTTTTTTTTTTCTTCCAGACTCACATCAAACATCATTCCTCTATAAAGACTTATGGGATACTACCTCTACCTCCACCCAGGAAAAGAACTGAAAAATACCACCTGTATACTTTCAGGATCTTCTGGATATCTATAATGTAGTACTTATAATATGATACAACAACAACATAATATAATAAATATTATACCTATTTATTCATCTATCTGTCATCACTATATGACCTATAAAGAAATAAATACAGACTTTGGAGTCAGAGATACCTGGTATTGAACCCCAGCTTCGTCACTATGTGACATTGAGAAAACTACTTTATACATCTGATCCTCACTTAGATCAGAGGTAAATGAGGTATTAATTGAAACAACAAAGTATTTACCACAATGCCTGATAGTTTAATTAGCACTCAATGTTTAGTTTGCTCTCTTCCACTAGACCCCCGCACTCAAGCAAGGGTAATTTTCTTCTCCAGGGGACATTTGGCATAGTCTAAAGACATTTTTGATTGACACAATTAGGTAAATGCCAATGGATAGAGAACAAGTAAACAGCTGAACATCTTAAAATGCTGAGGACATCATTCCCTCCCCCTCCAAAAAAAAAAAAGAAAACGAATTATCAGGTCCAAAATGTCAGTAGCTGCCAAGTCAGAGAAACTCTGCACAAGACTACAACATTTACTTACATTTGCATTCTCACTACATTGAGTACTGAATGAATTTTAGTTGAATGAAAGAATAAATGAAAGATTAAATTACACAAGACATTGTTTCTACCTCCTAAGATCTAATAATCAGGTAAGAGAAAAGACAAAAAGAATCAAGCACAATATGAAAAGTGTTAAAATAGTGATTTTCCCATTGTACTACGTAATCACAGAAAAAGGAAAACTTAACTAAAGGAAGACATAACAAACAAAGTGACTGCAGAGTTAGGAATTAAAGGATGACTGAGTTTTCCACTCAGAAAAAAAACAGATTTCAGTTCTTGGAGACATATTCAAAGAAGAGATAAGTTTCATATTACCAAAAGCACAGGGTGCAATATATGGCAAGAGTACAGGTAGGGAGGGGCAAAGCCAGTAAGGATACTTGGGATATAATTAAGAAAGACCTTACAAGCCATGCCAAGGACAGTGAGAAGAAGATAGAGGAATGTCTAAAATCAGTCTATCAACCTGATTATTCTCTAAGAATCTTCCCCTAGAGGACAGGCAGAGGGTCCTTTCAATAGACGGTTCTTTAAGATCCATGCAGGTAACAAGAAAGAAAAACAAAAAAAAAAAGGAAGAGAGAAGAAAGAAAGAATAATATTCTATTTTTCTAAATGCTTTTATAATGAAAGGCAGTAACAATAACACCTCAAATTAATAAATTCCTATATAGCTTACAAAACAAATTTTGTAAAGAGTCATTTAATAAACTATAATTTCACAAGACTAAAAAAGTGCCCTTCTGTTAGCCTGAAAAAGTCGTAAGTAGAAAACAGTGCCCTTAAAGTAGTTTAATGTAATGAACTGAAAATAGGTGTGCTATCAAAAAAACAATTTCATACTTGCTTAAGAATAATTGCTTGCTTGCAGAATTTCTGTGCAATGTTTGCAACTTGCTGTATTTTGGCAGGAATAACAAAGCCAAGTGCAGAAAGCTGACGAACTTCTCTCAGAAGAATAACCAAACGATCTGAATAATGTACTTTTAATGATCCATCATTAGGATCTAATTCCATAATTCGGCTATTAGACTCAATACTACAAAACAAAATGAACATTTAAAGTATTCATTTTCTCACTCTTTTAACTGACAAAAAATAGTATACTTTTTACAACCTCTTTGTAAATCTAAATCTCTTCAAAGTGAAAAAAATTTTGTTTTCAGGTTTCTTTTTTTTTCACAAGTTATCTTACAATTCTTATCTTGGTAACAAATATTCAATATATTCAAATATATTATCACATTGATATTTCAAACAAGCACATTTAAAGTAAGAAAAATGAATCTCTTAACCTTCAGCAAAGACTAAAAACTGACATCACTTCTACCATAAAGAGAAAAAGTTTTGATTCATTTCTAAAAGATAACTTAAATTTTTGTTTTCAATCATCTCGTTTACTTCTTTAATGCTTTTATTAAAGGATAAAGAACACCACAATGGTAGGAGTACAGAAAATCAAATGTTTTAATCCTCTATCCTTTGTTCTACTACCTATTTCCCTTTCTCTGTGTTTCATGCAAAGGCTATAATAGCAAATTTTACCTTGAGGTATTCCAATCAGCACGGGTTATGAAAATACTGAGCTAAATTATACATAAGTTATAAGGTTTCATTACCTTTCTTTTAGGAGATGATGTCTTTGTTTCAAGTCACTCAATTAAGAGAATTTGCAGATGTTAAAAGTTACTGAAAGTAAAGAACAAATCTACTCGGCCTACTTAGTAGTAAATAAAACAAAGAATAATAAAAGAAGGTACTTTAAAATGGCCCCAAATTTCCTATATAAACATAAAATCTGTCAGTAAACTATAAGGGTGACCTTTTTTGTCTTTATTTAAGACTAATCATCTTCCCCTAAAACAGACAGAATTAGTTTCTACATATCATAATTTCCCAATATGTGTTCTAAAGAACACTGATTCTACAAGACAGTAATAGGTTTTATATTGAAAAAAAAAGGTTGGGAGGAGGTTTTATAACCAAATGGGAAGAACTGTCAAACAAAGTTAAATAGGTTTCTCTCTACAGCAGCTCTCAGACTTTTGGCATGCTCCCATACATAGTGGATCTCTACCACTCTAGTGATACAAGTGCACAAATTTTCAAAACTTAGTTGATGACAGCGCTCTTTTCTTTTTTTTTCCTGGAGCGTATCTCAAGCTTTAGACTCCAGGTAAAAAGGGATAGAGCTAAATGGCATAAAGTTGTAACCATTATGCTCTAACGGTTTTTGGTTCTTCCATGCTTTTTCTATGGACAAAGTTAAAGAAAGACATTACAAAGTTCTAAAAATATAGACAATAATATGGTGTAGGCAGTTGACCTGAGGTACAAATAAACAATGATTCCCCTGGACCATCCATTTGAAATCCCCATTAGTAGAACTGGGTTAACTAATAAAATTAAGTTCAATACAGTTCAATAAACATCTATCAAAGCCTTATTATGTTGCATACCATGAAGAAATATCTGTTTCAAGGAGCTTAAAATTTAAAAAGTAACAATTTACAGTTAATAATACAATTTTTGTTAATGTAAATAATGTGAGAAAGTATATGAATAGCAATAACAAATATCATTGGAGAGGAAAAGCCTAATTCCAAAACAGGAACCTACGGTTCTGGGAATGAGAAGTAAGGTGGAAGCAGTCAATTATTTCATCAAAGTTTCCAACCTTAATGACTTAAAAGTTGATGGTCTAAAACTTAAAAAAAAATAATAAATTTAGGATGATTAGCAATTCTGGAAAAAGCAGCAAACAGATATGATTATTTCCATTTCCATCTGGATTAATAACAGATGAAAAAAAACATAAGTGTACAAATTTTCAAAACTTAGTTGATGACAGCACTCTTTTCTTTTTTTTTTCCTGGAGCATATCTCAAGCTTTAGACTCAAGATAAAAAAGGATAGAGCTAAATAGCATAAAGTTGTAACCATTATGCTCTAATGGTTTTTGGTTCCTCCATTCTTCTTCTATGGACAAAGTTAAAGAAAGACATTACAGAGTTCTAAAAATACAGACAATAATATGGTGTAGACAGTTGACCTGAGGTACAAAGAAACAATAATTCCCCTAGACTATCCATTTGAAATTATTATATAAATTATTTATTAAAAAAAAAATTGTTTATACTTACCACAAACCAGACCTGGAATCAGACAAACCTGATTGAATATCTCTGGACCAATCATCAAATTGTTCTTGTTCATAAACTTTAAACTGATCTGAAAGCTCTTCAGCACTTCGATGGAAAGATCGAAATCCTGACAAGTCAGATAAAAGAGCTTCTGCAATCTTGATAGTATCATCTACCTTAAAAGTAAAATTATAAAAATATACATTATTTAAAAGTCTAACAAAATTAGCATAAAATAATGAGCACCCTTATCTGATCTGTGATTTAGAAATTACTTTTTCATTCATCTAAAGTAGAACTCTAAGATTTCCAAGGAATAGTAGAATATAAACCTCTACTTGCTTTTGAATTATAGAATCTCAGGAGAGCAAAAACACAAGAGCATGTAACAGATACAAAGCAAAGGATAAGGCAAAGTAAGATCCAAAAATATATGTGTCCCACTAAATTTCAGAGAAAACTCCAAAACCTTCAGCAACACTCCTAAACATATTCAGCAGTAATTTTGGAACACAGGTACAAATGCTTTGGTTCATAGCTCAAACAATAATTATGCTAATTTGAAAAGTAATTAAGGGAGAAAAGAGTTTTCCCTCCAATTGTACAAAAAACATTGCAGCACCCTATAAAGCAGACCAACAGAATCAGGCAGAATATTCTAGAAAATAAAATATCAAAACTACATACTTGAATTAGAACTATCATATATGCTAGTCTTTATAATATTCTATACCCTCCTGCTCTTATCACACACCATCATCAGTATTTACTGAGTATGAGTTAAATGCAAGACACTGTACCACATACTAATTAGTAGTCCATAAGATTCTTAGATCGATTTTAAAGTCATCACATAGTCTTTGAAACCTAAAAATTGCTGTTCCTGCCATAGAGAATGCCATGAATTACATTTTACTCTTCCTTTAATGTCCTTCCAACCTAAAGTTTAGCTACATAAATGTGTTTGTAGGTAGATATTGCAGAAATCAACACTTTCAAATGATTTTTTTAAAGAATTTTTTAATACAGTATAAAGGATGTTTTCCTCTTAAACAAAACTTTTTTAAAAGGGCATTTATCTGATGCAATAGGAATGATAAGTGATTTGACAATTATCTTTACACAATGAATGAACAATACCATTACAACCTCCTCAACACATTTTTTCAGACTTCTACATTTAACATGAAAATTAGATGGAGGTGCAAAGAAAATAATCAATTTTTTTAATGTTTCACCACAGTTCAGAGGTCTTAATTTAGCTAATTTTTTTAGTATTCAAATTTTATTAAAACCAATACCTTCAGCTCCAACTGACGAACCCAAACTATATTATTGACAACTTCTGAAAGATTTTTTCCAGAAAGTGGTCCAGATGCATCACCAGGAATTCCTCGGCACCGATTCTCAAAGTCTAATTGAAAATCTATAAAATTTAAATCAAATGAAATGATTATATGCATTCAACAAAGGTTTCCTAAGTATCTTCCAAGTACCAAACACTGTGTCAATATTGCAGATAGAGAAATACTGAGTTGATCCTAATCCTCGAGGATCTTGCATCAAGCGAGACAGAGAAGTAAATAATCTGTTACTTCAATAAAACTTCTCATTTTAGAGGAAATAGCCTATACATGTCAGAATATGTATCCTTTATCTAAGGCAAATGATATGCAACCAAGAAATAAGTAACCTACAAAAATATTTTCTAAAGTACACACAATAATATCTGATAAATTTTTACCTTTAACTGAGTCCACAAGTCTTGCCAGTAAAATTTCTCTTTCTAACATCAATTCTTTGCTTATAGTTGGACGCTTCACCAACTCTTTGTATTTCAGAAACGCTTGAAGAAGCTAGTATAAAATAAAGTAAGTGTATGTTCATCCCAAATGGTCAACTTAGTAAGCACATACAAACTCCTAAAACAGCATACGTGAAATATTTAAAGTGAAATGTTTAAATATTTTACCTGCTGTGGACTGTCTTGAATTTCTGAAATATAATTTTTTAATTTTCCTGCTATTTTTTGTTCTGCAGGTGCAATAATTTTTTCATATTGAGAGACTGCAGCTTTCCACAAAGGCTAAAATAAATGAACAACTATTAGACTTTAATATTCTTAAATGTATTTATCTACAAAAAGAACAGCACAAACAAGAAATTATATAAATATGTAAACACATATATACTCAACCTCAGTATATGGATTATACTGCACCGGATTCAGGCCAGTAAAAGGTTCAAATACTCGAGTCAGGCCTATGATTTTCTCTTCACTACCAGGTGAAAAATAGAGAAGCTTCTCATGAATTGTTCTAACAGCCAAGACCTAAAACATAAAATATTAAAACAATAAAATTTATTTAAATCAACAGTTCTTCACAAACAGGTCTAGAACCTAAGGACATTAAGCAAGCATTTCTTTAAACTAGATTCGATAAATGAACAAAAAACAAACTATAAATCTGAGCACATTACTATCAATAATTAAATGATCCTAGCACTAGCTATTATCAGTCAATGGGTTCTGATCAAAATATATAAAATCTACATATTTTTAAACTATGTTTAAAGCTCCTTTAAGTTTTTAGAGTCTATTTTCCCTAAAACAGTAAAAAAAAAAAAAAAAAAAAAAACCTCTGGTTTTCATTATTCTGCATTGAATTACACTTCTACTAATGAAACTGTATTTATAACAGGCCAATTATGTAATTTCCAAATAATTAGAAAATAAATATTATTGTACTTAAAATTTCCACCAACCATCAAAAAGGTTAAGTGAAAATGCTATAATCTTTCATGTGAGTTGGAAATATCAATATAAACTGATGATTTTATTTTTCTCTTGCTAAATAAAAAACAAAATACATATTGAACAGTTCAGTCTATTAAGAAGGCCTAAAAGCACTGGTAACTGTAAGTGTAGTAGTTAGCACATCCACAACCAGGTCACTGTTGCTAAATACCATTTCCAGGTTCCTTGGAGAAATTACTAATTCCAAATATAGGACAGTACATTTTCTGTACAAGGGAGGCTGGTACATTTTTACAGGGAGCTATCATAGAAATGTCACAGGTCAAAATGACACTGGAGCCAATTTGAAGGGCTCTCACTGCCCAAAGATAGAACAATTCAAGCATAATGATAACTCCAGTGAACAGAAAGACATCAAACATAAAGGTTCATGAGTTGATAATATAATTTTAATAAATTTATGAGCTTACAAGATTGTAGACAGGGAACCAGAGATAGCAATTGGCAAGTGAGGACAACTACAAACAAAAAGAGGGAAAAGACTGTGCAGTCACAGAATTCCTA